ACGCCCCCGCCTCCCCTAACGTCAGCCCCGCCTCTAACCACGCCCCCGTGTTCCCTGGCCACGCCCCCGCCTCCACTAACGTCAGCCGCGCCTCTAACCACGCCCCCGTGTTCCCTGGCCACGCCCCCTGCCCGCTGGCCGCGCCCCCTGCCCGCCGGCCGCGCTGCTCCTGCTCGCGGCCCCCGCCCCCGCGTCCCTGGCCACGCCCCCGCGTCCCTGGCCACGCCCCCTGCCCGCTGGCCGCGCCCCCTGCCCGCCGGCCGCGCTGCTCCTGCTCGCGGCCCCGCCCCCGCGTCCCTGGCCACGCCCCCTGCCCGCTGGCCACGCCCCCTGCGCGCTGGCCGCGCTGCTCCTGCTCGTGGGCACGCCCCCGCGTCCCTGGCCACGCCCCCTGCCCGCTGGCCGCGCTGCTCCTGCTGGTGGCCACGCCCCCTGCGCGCTGGCCACGCCCCCTGCCCGCTGGCCGCGCTGCTCCTGCTCGTGGCCCCGCCCCCTGCGCGCTGGCCACGCCCCCTGCGCGCCGGCCGCGCTGCTCCTGCTCGTGGCCCCGCCCTCCCCGGCCCCGCCCCTGACGCAGCCCCGCCCCCGACGCCGCAGGGGCCGGCGCGCGGCGCAGGGCGGGAAGCTGAGCTACGCCGACTTCGTCTGGTTCCTCATCTCCGAGGAGGACAAGCGCTCGCCCACCAGGTAGGCCGCGCCGCCCATGATGCCCCGCGCCAGACCCCCTCCCATGATCCCCCGCGCCAGACCCCCCACCCCTCCCATGATCCCCCGCGCCAGACCCCCCCATCCCTCCCATGATCCCCCGCGCCAGACCCCCCCACCCCTCCCATGATCCCCCGCGCCAGACCCCCCCACCCCTCCCATGATCCCCCGCGCCACACCCCCCCCACCCCTCCCATGATCCCCCGCGCCAGACCCCCCAGCCCTCCCATGATCCCCCGCGCCAGACCCCCCCCACCCCTCCCATGATCCCCCGCGCCAGACCCCCCCATCCCATGATCCCCCGCGCCAGACCCCCCCCACCCCTCCCATGATCCCCCGCGCCAGACCCCCCCCACCCCTCCCATGATCCCCCGCGCCACACCCCCCCATCCCTCCCATGATCCCCCGCGCTAGACCCCCCCACCCCTCCCCGTGACCCCCGATCGCCCCCGTGACCCCCGATCGCCCCCGTGACCCCGATCGCCCCCCGTGACCCCGATCGCCCCCGTGACCCCGATCGCCCCCCGTGACCCTGATCTCTCCCCGTGACCCTGATCGCCCCCGTGACCCCGATCTCTCCCCGTGACCCCGATCGCCCCCGTGACCCCGATCTCTCCCCGTGACCCCGATCGCGCCCCGTGACCCCCGATCGCCCCCCGTGACCCCCGATCGCCCCCCGTGACCCCGATCGCCCCCGTGACCCCGATCGCCCCCCGTGACCCCGATCGCCCCCGTGACCCCGATCGCCCCCGTGACCCCGATCGCCCGTGCCCCCGCGCAGCATCGAGTACTGGTTCCGCTGCATGGACCTGGACGGCGACGGCGTGCTGTCCATGTTCGAGCTGGAGTTCTTCTACGAGGAGCAGCGGCGCCGCCTGCGCGCGCTCGGCCTCGACCCGCTGCCCTTCCACGACTGCCTCTGCCAGATGCTGGACCTGGTGCGCCCCGCGCACAGCCCGGTGAGACCCGCCCCGCCGCGCCCCGGGCCGGGATGGGCCGCCCCGCCGCGCCCCGGGCCGGGATGGGCCGCCCCGCCACGCCCCCGGGCCGGGATTGGCCGCCCCGCCACGCCCCCGGGCCGGGATTGGCCGCCCCGCCACGCCCCCGGGCGCGTAGCCACGCCCACCGCTCGCTGGGATCGCCTGGACACGCCCCCGGGCCGGGATTGCTCCCCCAGCCCCGCCCCCGGGCGCGTAGCCACGCCCACCGCTCGCTGGGATCGCCTGGACACGCCCCCGGGCTGGGATTGCTCCCCCAGCCCCGCCCCCGGGCGCGTAGCCACGCCCACCGCTCGCTGGGGTCGCCTGGACACGCCCCCGGGCCGGGATTGGCCGCCCCGCCGCGCCCCCGGGCCGGGATGGGCCGCCCAGCCCCGCCCCCGGGCCGGGATTGGCCGCCCCGCCACGCCCCCGGGCGCGTAGCCACGCCCCCCGCTCGCTGGGATCGCCTGGACACGCCCCCGGGCTGGGATTGGCCGCCCAGCCACGCCCCCGGGCGCGTAGCCACGCCCACCGCTCGCTGGGATCGCCTGGATACGCCCCCGGGCCGGGATTGCTCCCGCAGCTCCGCCCCCGGGCGCGTAGCCACGCCCACCGCTCGCTGAGATCGCCTGGACACGCCCCCGGGCCGGGAGCGCTCCCCCAGCCCCGCCCCCGGGCGCGTAGCCACGCCCACCGCTCGCTGGGATCGCCTGGACACGCCCCCGGGCCGGGATTGGCCGCCCAGCCCCGCCCCCGGGCCGGGATTGGCCGCCCAGCCCCGCCCCCGGGCCGGGATCGGCCGCCCAGCCCCGCCCCCGGGCCGGGATTGGCCGCCCCGCCACGTCCCCGGGCTGGGATTGGCCGCCCCGCCCCGCCCCCGGGCGCGTAGCCACGCCCACCGCTCCCTGGGATCGCCTGGACACGCCCCCGGGCTGGGATTGCTCCCACAGCCCCGCCCCCGGGCGCGTAGCCACGCCCACCGCTCGCTGGGATCGCCTGGACACGCCTCCGGGCTGGGATTGCTCCCGCAGCCCCGCCCCCGGGCGCGTAGCCACGCCCACCGCTCGCTGGGATCGCCTGGACACGCCCCCGCGCTGTGCTGGCGAGGCCACGCCCCCTGTGGGCTGTGGGAAGGGAGGCCACGCCCACCCCCGGGCTCGCAAGGCGTGGCCACGTGCAGCCCAGGCCTGGGGTTGGGGGCGGCCACGCCCACACGGTGTGGGATTGGGTGGCCAGGCCCGCGGGTAGCCACGCCCCCGGGCTCTGCGCGTAGCCACGCCCCCGCGCCCTGTGACTGGCTGTGTAGGCCCGCGGGTAGCCACGCCCCCCGCGCCCTGTGACTGGCTGTGTAGGCCCGCGGGTAGCCACGCCCCTGCGCTCTGTGACTGGCTGTGTAGGCCCGCACTAGCCACGCCCCCGCGCCCTGTGACTGGCTGTGTAGGCCCGCGGGTAGCCACGCCCCCGGGCTCTGTGACTGGCTGTGTGGGCGTGCGGTAGCCACGCCCCAGGGCTTTGTGGCTGTGTAGGCCCGCGGGTAGCCACGCCTCCGGGCTCTGCGCGTAGCCACGCCCCCGGGCTTTGTGGCTGTGTAGGCCCGCAGTAGCCACGCCCCCGGGCCCTGCGCGTAGCCACGCCCCCGCGCCCTGTGACTGGCTGTGTAGGACCGCGGGTAGCCACGCCCCCAGGCCCTGCGCGTAGCCACGCCCCCGGGCTCTGCGCGTAGCCACGCCCCCGGGCTCTGCGCGTAGCCACGCCCCCGGGCTCTGTGGCTGTGTAGGCCCGCGGGTAGCCACGCCCCCCGCGCCCTGTGACTGGCTGTGTGGGCCTGCGGTAGCCACGCCCCCAGGCCCTGCGCGTAGCCACGCCCCCGGGCTCTGTGGCTGTGTAGGCCCGCGGGTAGCCACGCCCCCGGGCTCTGCGCGTAGCCACGCCCCCCGCGCCCTGCGCTCGCCCGCCTCCCGCGCGCTGTGATTGGCTCTCCCGCCCCTCCCGCGCGCTGTGATTGGCCTGGCCGCCCCGCGGGCCGCCCCGCCGGCCTCCCGGGGTTTCTGCGCGTCGGCCCGCCTCCCGCGCGCTGTGAGTGGCTCTCCCGCGCCGCGCGCGCGCGCTGTGATTGGCCGGGCCGCCCCGCTCAGTGCCCTTGTCCCCCCCGCGCAGGCCGCATCACGCTGCGCGACCTGAAGCGCTGCCGGCTGGCGCCCGAGTTCTTCGACACCTTCTTCAACCTGGAGAAGTACCTGCAGCGCGAGCAGCGCGAGCAGGCCTGGCTGCTGCGGGTGCGACCCCCGACCCCGTGACCCCGTGACCCCGACCCGTGACCCCGACCCCGTGACCCCGACCCAGTGACCCCGACCCCGTGACCCCGGCACCGGCCCCGTGACCCCTGACAACGCGATCCCTCGTGACCCCCCTGACCCCTGACCCCGTGACCCCCGATCCCGCGCGACCCTTGACCCCAGTGACTCGTGACCCATGACCCCAACGTGACCCCCATGACCCCCGACCCCCATGGCCCCTGACCCCGTGACCCCTGACCCCCGTGACCTCGCCGTGACCCCTGACCTCCCGTGACCCCCGATGACCCCCCGTGACCCCTGACCCACCCGTGCCCCCCCGATCCCCCGTGACCCCTGACTCCCGTCATCCCTGACCCCACCGTGAACCAAGACGCCCGTGACCCAGATCCCCCGTGACCCTTGACCCACGCGATCCCCCGTGACCCGTGACCCCGCCGTGACCCCTCACCCCACCGTTACTCCCGACCCCGCCATGACCCCTGACCCCACCGTGACCCCTGATCCCACCGTGAACCCCGTGACCCTTGACCCCGCGATCCCCCCGTGACCCCCAACCCCGCCCTGAACCCCGTCTCCACTGACCCTGCCGTGACCCCTCACCCCACCGTGACCCTTGACCCCCGGTGACCCCTGACACCACGGTGACCCTCGTGACCCCCGACCCCGCCGTGAACCCCGCGACCCCTGACCCCGCCGTGTCCCTCGTGACCCCTGACCCCGCCATGACCCCTGACCCCCGTGACCCCCGATGACCCCCCGTGACCCTTGACCCCCGTGACCCCCGACCCCGCCGTGACCCCCGACCCCGCGGTGACCCCTGACCCCGCGGTGACCCCCGACCCCCGCGGTGACCCCCGACCCCGCGGTGACCCCTGACCCCCGACCCGCAGGACGGCGAGGCCGGCCGCCCCGAGGCGTCGGACTGGGATCGGTTCGCGGCGGCCGAGTACGACGCGCTGCTGGCGGAGGACGACGCGCGGGACGCCGGGTAGGCGGCGCGGAGGTCACGACCCCGACGTCCCCCCCCCCCCCCCCCCCCCCGCGCGCGTGAACCCCGATAAACGCGTACGTATGCGCACGGCCGCCGCGCACTTCCGGTCCGCAGGCCCCGCCCCCCGCGCCGCACGGGCCCATGGGAGGCCTGGGTGCAGCGGGAGGCCCCGCCCACCGAGGCCCCGCCCCTTAGATCAGCGTCAGGCCCCCGGGACCAATGAGAATCGGCCACTAGACCCAAGCCCCGCCCACTGTGAGCACCCTGGCCAATGAGCGGCCTGCGCTGATGCTGAGGCCCCCGCCCCCAGCGCGCGCCCACGTGACGGGGCCGGGTTCCGGCCCCTGCAGCTGCCTCGGCGGCCAATGGGAAGCCTCGCCCCGCCCCCTGGCTCCCCCAGGCCCCGCCCACAGCCGCTGCCCCAGCCCTGAGTGACAGCAGCCAATGGGAAGCGTCGCCCCGCCCCCTAGGCCCCGCCCACAGCAGCTGCGGGCTGAATTCCCCAGCCCTGAGTGACAGCAGCCAATGGGAAACGTCGTTTAGCTCCCAGGCCCCGCCCACAGCAGGTGCGTGCCTCACGCCCCCACCCCTCGAGAGCACGGCCAATCAGAAGCCTCGCCCCGCCCCCTGGCTCCCCCAGGCCCCGCCCACAACGGCTGCGGGCCGAATTCCCCAGCCCTGAGTGACAGCAGCCAATGGGAAGCCCCGCCCCGCCCCCTGGCTCCCCCAGGCCCCGCCCACCACGCCTGAGAGTCGAATTCCCCAGCCCTGAGTGACAGCAGCCAATGGGAAGCCTCGCCCCGCCCCCTGGCTCCCCCAGGCCCCGCCCACCACGCCTGCGGGCCGAATTCCCCAGCCCTGAGTGACAGCGGCCAATGGGAAGCGTCGTTCAGGCCCCCAGGCCCCGCCCACAGCAGCTGCGTGCCTCACGCCCCCCACCCCTCGAGAGAACGGCCAATCAGAAGCCTTGCCCCGCCCCCTGCCTCCCCCAGGCCCCGCCCACAGCCGCTGCCCCAGCCCTGAGTGACAGCAGCCAATGGGAAGCCCCGCCCCGCCCCCTAGGCCCCGCCCACAACAGCTGCGAGCCGAATTCCCCAGCCCTGAGTGACAGCGGCCAATGGGAAGCGTCGTTCAGCCCCCTGCCTCCCCCAGGCCCCGCCCACAGCCGCTGCCCCAGCCCTGAGTGACAGCGGCCAATGGGAAGCGTCGTTCAGCTCCCAGGCCCCGCCCACAGCAGCTGCGAGCCTCACGCCCCCACCCCACGGGACGGCGGCCAATCAGAAGCCTCGCCCCGCCCCCTGGCGCTCCAGCCGCAGCCCCGCCCCCTGACGTCACCCGACGGGAGCCGCCCGGCCGCGGCCTGAGGCGCGCGCGTGCGCAGTCGGCGCGTGGGCCCTGCGAGCCGCCGCCCGTCCCGCCGCGCGCAGCCGCGGGCCCAGGACTTCGGACTTCCGGCAGGGCGGGACTTCCGGAACGGGGTCTCCCCGAGGCCGCCTGCGACGCTGCGGAAGTCAGGGCCCGCCTGATTGGAGGAGCGGAAGCGGTGGGCGGGGACGCGCCCTCAGGGGAGGCGCTGATTGGGTGGGCGGGGATTCGGCCTGCCAGGAGGAGCGGATTGGGTGAGAGCTCTGCGTCCCGTGCGTCTCCTGCGTCCCCTGCGTCCCATGCGTCCCGTTCGGATATTATGGGATGGGGATATTATGGGATGGGATGGGGTTATTATGGGATATGGTAGGGATGGGTTGGGGATATTATGGGATGGAGATATTATGGGATGGGATGAGGATATTATGGGATGGGGATATTATGGGATGGGCCCATTATGGGATGGGATGGGAATATTATGGGATGGGAGGGGGATATTATGGGATGGGATGGGAGGGGGATATTATGGGATGGGCCCATTATGGGATGGGATGGGAATATTATGGGATGGAATGGGAATATTATGGGATGGGATGGGAGGGTGATATTATGGGATGGGATTGGATGGGGATATTATGGGATGGGGATATTATGGCATGGGAGGGTGGATATTATGCGATGGGGATATTATGGGATGGGTCCATTATGGGATGGGATGGGGATATTATGGGATGGGACGGGAGGGGGATATTATGGGATGGGAGGGTGGATATTATTGGATGGGATGGGGATATTATGGGATGGAGATATTATGGGATGGGAGGGGGATATTATGGGATGGGAGGGTGGATATTATGGGATGGGATGGGGATATTATGGGATATAGTAGGGATGGGTTGGGGATACTATGGGATGGGATGTGTATATTATGGGATAGGTACATGATGGGATGGGGTGGGGATATTATGGGATGGGATGGGAGGGGAGGGGAATATTATGGGATGGGGATATTATGGGATGGGGATATTATGGGATGGGATGCGATGGAGATATTATGGGATGTGATGGGGATATTATGGGATGCGATAGGGATGGGTTCGGGATATTATGGGATGGAAGATGATGGGATGGGGAAATTATGGGATGGGAGCGCGGGGAGGACGTCCCATCCCATAATATCCTCCTCCCCTCCCATCCCATAATATCCCCATCCCATAATATCCCCATCCGACAATGTACCCATCCCATAATATCCCCATCCCATAATAGCGCCATCTCATCCTGTAATATCCTTATCCCATCCCATAATATCCCCCTCCCCTCCCAGCCTATAATATCTCCATAGCATCCCATAATATCCCCATCCCAGCTCCTCCCAGCCCATAATATCTCCATCCCATCCCCATCCCATCCCATAATATTCCCAGCCCATTTCCTCCCATCCCATAATATCCCCATCCCATTCCATAATATTCCATCCCATCCCATATTCTCCCCTCCCAGCCCATAATATCCCCATCCCATCCCATAATATCCCCATCCTATCCCATCTCATAATAGCCCCATCCCATCCCATCCCATAATATCCCCATCCCATAATATCCCCCTCCCATCCACTCCCATCCCATAATATCCCCTCCGCTCCCATCCCATCCCATAATATCCCCATCCCATCCCATAATATCCCCATCCTATCCCATCTCATAATATCCCCATCCCATCCCATAATATCCCCATCCCATAATATCCCCATCCCATTATATCCCCATCCCATAATATCCGCATCCCCTCCCTTCCCATCCCATAATATCCCCCTCCCCTCCCCTCCCATCCTATAATATTCCATCCCATCGCATATTATCCCATAATATTCTGTACCATCCCATATTATCCCCTTCTCTCCCCTCCCAGCCCATAATATCCCCAGCCCATTATATCCCCATCCCATAATATGCTCAATCCCCTCCCCTCCCATCCCATAATACCCTATCCCATCCCACAATCTTCCATCACATCCCATATTATCCCCTCCTCTCCCTCCCAGCCCATAATGTTCCCATCCCATCCCCATCCCATAATATCCCTATCCCATCCCCATCCCACCCCATAATATCCCCATCCCATCCCATAATATCCCCATCCCAGCTCATAATATCCCCATCCTATCCCCATCCCATCCCATAATATCCCCATCCCAGCCCATAATATCCCCATCCCATCCCATAATATCCCCATCCCATCCCATAATATCCCCATCCTATCCCATCTCATAATAGCCCTATCCCATCCCATCCCATAATATCCCCATCCCATAATATCCCCCTCCCATCCACTCCCATCCCATAATATCCCCTCCGCTCCCATCCCATCCCATAATATCCCCATCCCATCCCATAATATCCCCATCCTATCCCATCTCATAATATCACCATCCCATCCCATAATATCCCCATCCCATAATATCCCCATCCCATCCCATTATATCCCCATCCCATAATATCCCCCTCCCCTCCCATCCTATAATATTCCATCCCATCGCATATTATCCCATAATATTCTGTACCATCCCATATTATCCCCTCCTCTCCCTCCCAGCCCATAATGTTCCCATCCCATCCCCATCCCATAATATCCCTATCCCATCCCCATCCCAGCCCATAATATCCCCATCCCATCCCATAATATCCCCATCCCAGCTCATAATATCCCCATCCCATCCCCATCCCATCCCATAATATCCCCATCCCAGCCCATAATATCCCCATCCCATCCCCATCCCATCCCATAATATCCCCATCCCATCCCATAATCTTCCATCCCATCCCATATTATCCCCTCTTCTCCCTTCCTATCCCATAATATCCCCATCCCATAATATGCCCAATCCCCTCCCATCCCATCCCATAATACCCTATCCCATCCCATAATCTTCCATCCCATCCCATATTATCCCCTCCTCTCCCTCCCAGCCCATAATGTTCCCATCCCATCCCCATCCCATAATATCCCTATCCCATCCCCATCCCACCCCATAATATCCCCATCCCATCCCATAATATCCCCATCCCAGCTCATAATATCCCCATCCTATCCCCATCCCATCCCATAATATCCCCATCCCATCCCATAATATCCCCATCCCATCCCATAATATCCCCATCTCAGCTCATAATATCCCCATCCTATCCCCATCCCATCCCATAATATCCCCATCCCATAATATGCCCAATCCCCTCCCATCCCATCCCATAATACCCTATCCCATCCCATAATCTTCCATCCCATCCCATATTATCCCCTCTTCTCCCTTCCCATCCCATAATATCCCCATCCCATAATATGCCCAATCCCCTCCCATCCCATCCCATAATACCCTATCCCATCCCATAATCTTCCATCCCATCCCATATTATCCCCTCCTCTCCCTCCCAGCCCATAATGTTCCCATCCCATCCCCATCCCATAATATCCCTATCCCATCCCCATCCCACCCCATAATATCCCCATCCCATCCCATAATATCCCCATCCCAGCTCATAATATCCCCATCCTATCCCCATCCCATCCCATAATATCCCCATCCCAGCCCATAATATCCCCATCCCATCCCATAATATCCCCATCTCAGCTCATAATATCCCCATCCTATCCCCATCCCATCC